AATGTTAACATCACTTTTGTCATTTCGGCCATAAAAAAAGTGATAGGATAATCGTTCTACGAGCTGACGGGATATGTCGTTTATGCCTTCCTGACCTATAAGCCTTCCTGCAGGGTTAAATAGTTAACTTGCAGAGAGGCTTATTGATTTGTTGGTAAAAATAAATATGTATCAGAAATTCTTAAAGAATTAAACACATAAAATTCGCTGTCTTCAACATTGTTTTATTATTAGCATTGGTACAATTTTTTTTTATTTATTTTATTTATTTTTAGTTTTCTTCATTGTTTTTCTCAGAATGGACATAATAATTGGGCAAATTAATTCCATTACACCTGGCTGTAAGCGAATGAAATTAATTTGTGCGCTTATTGTTTGCTGTTTTCACACACATACATACATATGTACATATGTACATATGTATGTATATAAATTTTACACTGAAAAAATTTTCTAAATATGTATGTATATAATTAAAATTAAATACCAACGACTATTCTATATGCATTTTTATTTCACCTTAAATTCCACTTGTTTGATATATATTATATAATAGGTATGTATACAATTAGAGTTATGTATGTATGTAGGTAGTAAATTTAGTAAATTAGTATTATAAATTCAATTGTTTATATTAATCATTTCTGCTAAATTCCCAATATGCAATGAATAAATAGTTTTTTTCTTTATAATAAATATTGTATACATACATACGTAAAAACATACATTAATATTGTATATGTAATTGCAATTAATTAATAATAATATTATTGTCAACAACTTTTTCAATATATAATTTAGTAATTGATAGCAATGTTTTTATACAATACCTACATATATATTTAGGCGCATACATATGCATATATAGTTACTTATGATACCATCTATATATATATATTTTTTTTCAATTATTTAATTTTTATTATTATTATTATTATTATTATTTGTTTTAAATAATTAATCACTTCTTTTGCCCAATACTTTAAGAGATTATGTTGAAACGTTTTTTTTTGTAATATTTATGCCACAAAAACATTCAGCAACAGCTAAAACGTAAATAACACAGTTAAAGCGTTGGTTTTTTATTTATTAAAAATTATTAAAATTTTCTTGCAATATTTTGGATGCTCGTATTCTTTCATACTCAGGTAGTTAGTAGTGGTTTAACGGTTTTACTAATTTAATAGGGGTATTCAGATCGGATCTGCTGTTATTCGGTAGTTTTTTACGTGTATTTTGTTTTTGTGAAATTAACAGATCAACGTTTCGTACCGTGTAACGAAGTGCCAGTCTGGCAAGCATTTTTGTTGTATTTTTCCTATAGTAGATATGTTTTGTTATGCAAAAATCCATTTTTTTATAAACTTTTTTATAATTATTCTAAATGGTATTGGGAAATTACTTCGAATTTTTTTTTTGCCTTTTATGTTCGTTAGATGAATTTTTGGCAGTCATGTTTATGTATGTGTTTTTCAGTGGCTTCTTCAAGGGAAATAAAAAGTGTTTTCTTTTCATTTTTAGTCCATTTTAGCTGCTAAATTAATTAAAATACCTTTTTTTAATATAAATAATTTTCGAATTTAGTTTTCTTTTTAAATCAAAAAATATGAAAAAATATGCAAATAAAAGTGATTTTTTTTTTTAAATCAAAGTAAAGCTCTTTTGTGTGATACAAAAAACCAAATAATTTCACTTAAAAGTTTTTTCAAAATTATTAACCATCTGACATAAAAAGGTTTTTCTACTTTTGCTTTATTTTTGTGCTACCAATTTCATTGTTTAAAAAATAAACTTTCAACATTCTAAATTTAAAAAAATTTAAAACCTTTCATTGTAAACAAAAAGTAAAGAAAAATAATGTGTACTCACAAAAAACCCTAAGGCTTTGTATTCTATTTTCTGAATTATAATGGAAATAAAATTATTTTTAGGCGGCTTAGCATTTTTTTTTTATAAAAATACATATGCTTTATTTTTAAAGTGGCAATATCTTGAAGTTAAAATAAATAAAAAAGTTAAAATGAATAAAATGTTAGAAAATTTTTCCTGTCAATTTTATGTTGAGTGAAACTACCTTCCTTATTTTATATCATTTTATATTTTGAAATTATATTAAAAGTAATTTTTTTTAAGATTTATCATAGAGAATCAAGTCTGTATACACATAATTATGTAAATTGAAAATTTTCTATGAAATCAGCTTAGTCCCCACTCTTGATTGCATCACAGTCGAAAGCTCTCTCGTACGAGTATACCAAAAAAGAAAAAAAAAACAACGCAATCTCCTATCGTTTTACCGTTATTGGTATTTTAAGTCGATATTTAATTTGAAAAGCCCTTGCATTAAATAAGCATTTCTGTATAACGATAAACAAATATAAATTTAAAAAAATCTGCTTTAATTGGCGAATTTGAAAGTTATTTATTTATTTTAAATTTTTTTTTTTTAAATTTTTTTTTGTAAAGAGTATTCTCCCCTTAAGGCCAGGTTCCTCTAAAAAATGCTCAAATAAACGAAATTATTTTCCCTGTAAATTACTAGAAAATACTCTTAGAAATTATATAGACTTGGTATCGAAGGTCCGCAGTACCGAGAAGTAAGTATAGAAGTGGGTAGAGCGGGGCGCACCAAGCGGTAAATCCTCACGAACAAAAACTTTAAGCGTCTTTTTCTCGAAACCACGTTTTTTTTCAACTGGATGACACTCACATTTAGAACCTATTGAACCTATCAATATGAACTTAACGGCATTTTACTCCTAAAATATCTCTTCATGGCCGAAACTACACCCAAAAATATTTATAGCTTTTTAATTTAAAAAAAAAAATTCTAAGCAATTAATATTGAGAAAAGTGTGAGAAAATCAAAAAGTCCCATATTTTTTTTTGTTTTTTTTTTTTTTTTTTTGGTGAAATAGTTTCATAGCCAATGTGATACCGAATAAGAAACCGTTTTGATTTTTATTTCAGATAATTCCTTACACCAACAAATAGGACAACGGGACAGCAATTTTAAGTGCCGCCATTACAAAAAAAATAAAAATTAATATTTTTATACATCTACTTATCTACATTAACTTTGATTTATAAATTTTTTTTTTTTGGAATAATATTTGTTTGGAAAAAACACGTTTTTTGGGTGGAACCTGGCTTTAAGCAGCTTTATTTTTTCACACCAACGGTCTTTCCTAGAACTTTTATACTCAGAGCTAAAGTATAAACTATTTCATAAATTTTCATTTGAAGAGAACTTTTCACTTGATTGATATAAAATAAAAATATTTAAAAATATTTAGAAAAATTTTTAATAAAAAGTCTACGCGGTTCTTGGCACCAAATATTGCTGATACTTTTTTTTGGGCAACTCTACCATACGATTTTGCTAAACTAACATGTGGCTTGTTTTCGGAAATTTTCATGTTGAAGAGAAGAGATGAATGTTTTGCACGCCCAAACATTAAGAAAGCCGATATAATTATGTTACTGGTGGAGCAAGACCGGATGTAAGCTGTCACGTGACAGTTTGGAAACAAAGTCAAACTCTTCTCTTCAAAAAAGCTCGATGTTAGAGTGCCACATGCAATTAATTGACAAATTACTATCAGTATAACCTTAAAAATAAAATTAAAATTTAAAAAAATTAAATTTTAAAAAAGTTTGCTTTTCAGCATGACAAGGCCAGAACACTTGCATCTTTGATGACCGGGTATAAAAGTTGATGGAACTTAGTTGGGAAGTGCGCACCAAATAGCCCGAGCTTTGCACTAACTGACTACAAATTGTAATTGATTAAAAACATTTTCATATAAAAAAAGTTTTTTTTTCAAACATATAAAAAAACAGAGACTTCTTTAACAATAATATTTATACGTTTCAATAAAAAAAAAGCAATTTTAAGAATTTTTTTAGCTCTTTTCTTGTGCTTAAAACACTTTATTTCATATTTTTCACATATAATTTCCGGAACTTCAATGGCTTAAATTAAAAAAAAAAACTAAATTCAATTGGTATTTTTGTAAATATATAGTTTTAACTGCGCTCTTTGGAAAAAAAAATAATTCCACAAAATATTGTATTTGAAATACTTTGACGAACCGATTTTAAAATATTTGTGGTAACTCTACACATTCTTTGAGACTTTCTAATGACATTTCGGTGTCTATTGGCCCTTTACAAGCAACTAAAAACAGCTTTAGCGTAGAACACAAATTTTCTTGTCTTGTATGAATCATAAAAAAAAATTTATTTAAAAAATTTTAAATATTTTTCGCCTGTTTGAGATAATTTTTTTTAGCATTTCACAGATTAGTAAATTAAATGTTTAAAAATTTAAAAAATTATTTTCGAATTTATTTAAAAACTAATTATTTGAAAAAAGTATATTTTTTCAAACATAACACAAAGGGAATTTCAAGTCAGTAGCATAACTGAGAACAAAAGAAAAATATTGATCAAATAATATAAAAAAATTAAAAATAAATATAAAAAGATATGAAATAAATACTCGTTTTTATAAAGTTCGAAAAATGTGGCTGTTTTTTAAAATATCATATTTATTTTTTTTCCATAAAATTATAAAAACTTAATTTAAAATAAAAATTGCTTAGAGAAAAATATAAAAATAATATCAAACTTTGCATTAATTTTAATTACTATGTATGTGTGATTGTATGCATTCACATTTGTAAGCACTAAGAAAGGAAAATAAAGCATTTAGCATGGGAACATACACAGCTAACATATGTATTTGGGGTGTTCACACAGCATATTGAAATTTTTATAATTTTTTGTTTGTATTACACACAACATAAATGTATTCTTTCTTATAGAACAACACATTAAAAATTTGAAAATACACTTTAACATGCACAAATACCTCATAATTAATATTTTTTTTATTCTGAACAAAATTGTTTTTTTTTTTGTTGTTTATTATTCTGATACAATCGTTTCATAAAAAAAATAAAATTTTTAATTAATCTTTTTTTTTCTGATTTTAGTTTTATTCCCGCCTCTCTAAAATATCCAATGACTGATAATTTATGTGGTGTGTATGTATTTGTATTTAGCCTTGTCAAACAATCTTATATATCATTTAACTATGTTTGTATTTAGTCCACTAAAACTACTCATACTTATAACTATTGTATAACGATTTCAAATTCACGAAAGCCTTTTAGTACTTTTTTTTTGTAATTAGTTTAGATTATGCTTTTTTTTATTTTTTTTATTTGTATCATCATAACCTTTTTATATAAATTATAATACATTGATTTTTATTACAATTATAATAATAGTAATATGTATAATCGTTACTATGGATACCTATGGAATACAAATTCTTAAATGCCTTGTGAGAAGTTGTGCTGAAAAGCACGGTATGCATATGTTTGTATGAGTATGTGAGCGTATTTGGGAGCTATATGAAGGTCCTTTGCTGATTATGACATTTACACCTGAGCTGGTTTACTTTTGCCGACTACCATTAGCATCTTCTGTAGGAAACGTGTGAGGCTTACTGCAATATGGAGAAAGTTGAAAAATAAATAAATTTATTAATAAAAGCTGTTGTGGAGTAATTATTTAAAAAGCCTACAAAAAATCGAAGTATTTGTATCGAAACTATTTCAAGATCACTCTATGAGAAGTTCTACAAACTATTACTAAAGCAAAGAAATCTTCAGTCAATGAGGGTATTCACAAAGCAATAAAAAAGATTTTCTAAAAAAAATATTTAATTAAAATAAATAAATATTCGAGGAAAGCACTCCAGCTTTGAAAGTATTCGATTCAGTACCCGCTGATGGAAGCAGATGCATATATGTACCTGATCAGTACTTCACCGCCGTATTTGAATAGCTTGGCCGGCAATGCATTGGTTCCCACCGCTTTGTTGTTCTTTAGACGGACAATTGCTATTCGGACTTCTTCAAAGTCAGGTAACGGAACAATTTATCTATCGTCATCAATTGGAGACTGCCATTCAGCAGGCTGGAGAAGTGTTCCCTCCATAAATTCAGTACACTATGGGCATCCTACAAGAATTTGCTCCGCTATTGAAAACCTTCTGTAATTCGGCGTATCTTTTTGTAGAATTTGCGAGGGTTACTCTTATCATCCAGCTTCTCTAGCTCATTATAATCCCACATTTCAGCCTCTTTATTTTTTTCCTGCAAATGCGTTCTGCTTCCCTCTCCAGCTCTCGGTATCTAGCAAGGTTGCGAGGTAGGCAGTATGTTTACTATCCACGCGACATGGCATACCTCATCGTACTAGCTGTTTTTGCGACCTTTCCGAAATCTAATTGATTCGTTGGCAGCTGTACGTAGCGAATTGGAAATGCTTATGCCGGGTTGCAGATGAGTGCTCTGAGAGAATAGGTGTGCGACTCGAGTAAAAGACCGCTTGGCAGTCTACTGTGATTGCAGTTTTTCAACTTCGAACCTTCCCTGTGTTTGTTGACGGGGTCTTTTCGATACACAGATATCCGAGTCGATATTAGGACCTCAGAACGTACGCACGGTTGAGAGTTTTTCGATCTGGAGACAGCCAAGTAGCTTGGTAAATTTTTTTGTGCTGGAATCTAGTGCTACGGACAACCATATTTCGGGCCCCGGAGAAGTCAATCAGCCTCAGCACATTTGGAGATGTTTCGTCGGGGAGGCTGAATTTCCGACTGTTGTTCTTTTGCCCACCCTGTCGTTGAAGTCGCCAATCACAATTTTGATATTGTGGTGTGGGCAGCGATCATAAGTGTGTTCGAGGCGCTCGTAAAAGGCATCCTTGGTCACATCGTTCTTCTCTTCCGTCGGGGTGTGGACGGAAATCAGCGTGATGGTCTTTCATCCAATGTTATTAAGATTTTTCATTGAATTTTACGTTTTTCATGTGGTGGGTCCAAAACCCTACGCATAATCGCATTAGATTCGACTTCTCCCTTTAGCGCGCCTCTAAACGAATGTTTCTGGGCTACCTAGGGGATAATTGGTCTAAGACCGAAAGTCGTGAGCTGCTTGAATCATATGTAAAAGAATCGTTTTTGGTCACTTCCAGATGAATGGCAGCCCAAAACTTTTCTCATTTGCGTGAACTTATGCACTTATGCCTCACCCCCCTCCTTAATTTCGCTAATAAGGTGCTGTCGAGCGTATTGTATAAAATACTAAAGCCCATCGCCAACAAACTCTTTGAACCTTATCAGTATGGCTTTAGACCTGGAAAATCAATGTTATTGGCCTCAACAACCGCGCGGAGAGTTCTGCTTTCTCCAGATTGGATAAGGAAGCGAAAGGTTTGTGTTTGGTAGTGAACAAGGGCAAGAAGAAATATTTCCTGTCATCACACAAACAGTCATCGCATTCGCGACGCGGCTCCCACGTCACTGTTGACAATCATAACTTTGAAGCCGTAGATAATTTCGTCCATCTAGGAACCAACATTAACACCAATAATAACGTCAGCCTTGAAATCTAGTGCAGAATCACTCTTGCTAACAGATATTATTTTGGACTAGGTAGGCAATTGACAAGTAAAGCCCTCTCCCGACGAACGAAAACCAAACTCTAGTCAAGTCCCTCATCGTTCGCGTGCTGCTTTATTTGAGGGAGCATGTACGATAATAACATCTGATGAGTCGCCGTTAGTAGTTTTCTAGCGAAAGGTTTTTCGTAAGATTTATGGTTCTCTACTAGTTGGGAACAGCTAACACCGCAGCCGATGGAACGATGAGCTGTAAGAGATATATTTCGTCATTGACACAGTTCAGTGAATCAAGAAACAGTGACCGCGCTGGCTATGTCAATAGATCCGGATGGTTAAGAATACTCTAGCTTTGATGTAGTACCGACCGGTGGAGGCAAAGGAAGAGGAAAACCTCCACTTCGTTGGAAATACCAGGTAGAGAAGAACTTAGCTGCATTTTCTAATATTTAGAGCCAAGCTTTTGTGTTATTTTAAGGTGGCCTGATGTCGCTAAAACTTCAGCTGTTGGTCGATAAAAGGCGCTGCTTTTGGTCGAAGTCACCAAACTTTCTGTCGCTTGGAGTTATGTCGAAATCCAACGAGAGCGAGAAGACGGGAAACGGTGATTGGTAACGTTGTTTAATTGAAACACCTCAATGACGCGTGGAAAGCAATATAAAATATGAAATCAGACTTAATATTTCGTAAAACGATTTTTTCGGTATATTAATCTCAAACAACAACAAATATGATGATTGTTGTAAAAACTGAATTTTTTTTAATTCGGCGTTTTTTAATTCAGTAAATCAGCTTTGTGAATACCCCTATCGATTAATATACTACTCACAAACTACGAAAAAAATGAGTGCAACAAATGTTTACTTCAGGGTGCTTAATATCCAACCAATTCAATGTTAAATGCAAGCAATTTTTATTTTGAATAAAAAATCAAAGAAAATTTTAAAATAATTTAACTAGAATGTGCGTGATTTTTTCTTTTTTTGATAGAAAAGTGTAAACTAAAGTAAAAAAAAATTATTAAATGAAATAAATGTAAATAATAAAAACCTTTGAAGCGGAAGCTTTTGGACGAACAACCATCAACATTTTTTGCAGTCCCTGTGTGAATCCACCTAAAAGAGAATAAATATGCCACAGCGATATGGTGTGAATGTGCGTGATTTTAAAAATTAATATCATAAAATAAAATTACATACATATATTCGTATATAAGGGGTGTTGATAAGAACTTAAAACCAATTGGGAAGTTTTAAAAAAGCTTTTTTTTTTTAAATAGACAATTTAATATTTTTGTTTATAATTTTCAAACACACAAAAATGTTCCGCGTCGACTCACCCATTGTCTTCTGGAACCATATTGGCTTGTTCTTCCACGCAATGAAAACCAAATAAACTGGTATACTGGTGAGGATCATTAGTATGCCATAACCGGTCTCAACGGGACTAGCGTACATGGGCACGACGGTAACGAAAATGGTGGCGAGCAAATAGATAACGGGGAAAACGAGTGGTACGCGTATGGGGCGTGGCAAATTGGGTTGAGCATAACGTAACCAGGGCAAACAAAGTACAGAGACGCCTATGCTCAGCTGTGATATAAAAGAAGAAGAAGAAGAAGAAGAAGAGCATAAGAGATAACATAAAAGTAAATAAATAAATAAATGTAAATATTTAAAAACTTTTACACCTAAAAAAACACTTCTTTACCATACACACTTACCCAAGTGGCAAAGCCCACATAATTGATAAGCGCAAAAATATCCGACACCGTTAGGTACAACATCGACAACAAAGCCATTATCAAGACGGCAGGTGTGGGTGTGAATCGTTGTATTTGTATCATTGTTAAAATTTCCGGCATCTGACCTTCATTGGCGCCGGCATAGAAGAGACGTGAAGAGGTAAGCAAAATACCATTCACCGCACCGAAGGTGGAGAGCGCAACGAAGACTGTAAATAAATTAGGTCAGTTATATTTTCAATTCACTTGCTTTCTTTATTTCCCTCCCTCCATCACTTACCTGGCACTGTCCATGCAAACATGCCAAAAGCACGCTCCGCATACGTCACAGCTACAGCGGCGGAACCGAGCACCTCTTCCGGTGAGAGTATTGTGTAGAAGGCCACATTCGCCATGACATAAACAATAGTAACCAATGTGCAAGAGATGGCAATGGCACGTGGCAAATTCTTTACGGGATCCTTAAGCTCCTCAATAATGAAGTTCAAGTAATTCCTGTGTATGAATGAGAGAGAGAGAGAGAGAGAGAGAGAGAGAGAGAGGGAGGGTGAAAAAGAGATTTGGTAAGGGGTTGTATAAAATTATTTGTCGCTATATTAGCCGTAGAAGTAGAGCATGCAATAAGGATTGTGCGCCATATCCTTTACCAGCTAAGTAAATATTGTCACAAACCATTGGACAGCCGTAAGCCAATTACTTAAATCCTATTACTTAGTAGATATTTTATATGTATGTGCGTAAGTATATTGTAAGCAGATTTCCTTTCGACTTCTTCTTCTTCTTCCAACCTCTTCTTTACTCGCTTCCCTCGCTGTTGTTTGCTCTCTCTCTCTATATATATACACGCACGAAGCCAGCAACTTACCATCCATTGTACGCAAACAGTCCGGAGTAGAAGGACAACGCTAGTGATGTGACTTTTGTATCGGTATTATCAAATGTAAAATATTCCAATTTGCCCAAGTACAGTTGATACACTCCAGTGGCGATGATAATGAAGAGCGCCAACAGCTTGGCATATGTGAAGATATCCTGCACAGCGGTGGCCCATTTAACGTCCCAGCAGTTGATAAAAGTCAGTACCACTAGAATGGGGAAGAGGAGAAAAGCGTGTTAGGGTAAATCTTATTAGCAAATCACAGCAAATGGAAATAAATGCTTTTGTCAGAGCGCATTGCAAATTGAATTAAACGAACGGATGAGCGAGGAATGACAGAGAAAGTTTTACAAAAATGTTGTGCTAATCTCTGTCGACTGGCAAAACAGTACAATATAAAGTTTTGAAAAAATCTCAAGCAAATTTTTTTTAGTTTTTACGACGTACACACACATGTACTCGTATGCATGTTATGTAGGATTATGTTTAATTTTGTTTTAAATAATCTCAGAGACGAGGAAACCATTAAAAAGTAAAAATAAATATTTTAATGCATATAAAAGGATTCCAATAAGAGTTGTTATTCTAATATACAAAGAAACTTTTTTTTAAAGATCGATGGTTTTGTTGCTTGTGTGAGGCAAGCGCCGTCTTGTTGAAAGTGGGCCAACCAGATAAATACCATGCATCCATCCCCCCATAAGAAATCACTAATCAACTCTCGATGGCTTAATCCATTTTTTTTCGAAAAAGTAAGGTCCAATGATCTTATCGACCCATAGAATTTTTCGGCATCACACGGGTCCACTCATTTCGGCCGTTTTCCTTCTCGAATCCAAATCCTTTTCACTTCCCCCTTCGGGTGATTTATTTTTCGGCTATGCAGCTCGACACTCCTCATCGTACTTAATCGTACTAACTTTTTTTCCAACATTGCCGATGCTTGAGAATCCCATACTTACTTACTTACTTTACTGGCGGAGACAGCGCTTACGCGATTATAGCCGATTCAACAACATTGCGCCATTCGTTTCTTCTGTTTGGTCAGGTCAGCCAGGTCCTTCTCTATATAGTCTTTCCAACGGAGTGGAGGTGTTCTCCTTCCTCTGCTTTCACCGGCGGGCACTGTATCGAAAACTTTCAGAGCTGGAGTATTCGCATCCATCCGAACCACATGACCTAGCCAGCGGAGTCGCTGCTTGTTGATTCGATGAACTGTATCAATGTCGCCTTATAACTCCTATAGCTTATCATTCCATCGTCTGCGATATTCGCCGTTGCCAATGCCCAAAGGACCATAAATTTTACGCAAGACCTTTCTATCGGAAACTTCTAACGCCTACTCATCAGATTTTGTCAGCGATCATGCTTGCGTACCACATAGCAGGACGGGTACGATGAGGGACTTGTAGAGTTTGGTTTTCATTCATCGGGAGAGGACTTTACTTTTCAATTGCCTACTCAGTCCAAAGTAGCACCTACTAGAAAGACTAGTTCTGCGCTGGATTTCAAGACTGACATTATTATTGGCGTTGATGCTGGTGCCTAGTATCGACAGGCTGATGAGTGCACTCAGAAATCAGGAATGCAAGACAAGTAGAAAACTACCTGGCTGTCTGTTGGAATTGCAGTTCTTAGACGTCGAACCTTCATTGTTTTTGTTGACAAGCGTTCTTTGCTGCACAGAGGTGAGTACGTAAATATATTCGACCTGGAGATCGAATTGAAGACATGTCTCTCGTCTATCACAAAACAAACGATTGCGTGATTAATGTTTCGGTAACAGTCATGCAACATGATGAATTTTCCTGTGCCGAAATCTGGTGCTACAGACAACTATATCGATTAGCCTCAGCTGTTTAGGTATGTTTTGTCATGGTGACTGAATTTTTCTTTGCCCACCAGGGCGTTCAAATTGCCAAGCAATATATATTCTAAGGGTTAATGGAAAGCATCCTCTGCTCATCGTTCTTCTCTTCGTGGTGGCGAGATGTCAATACGCCGGGGTGAGTGCCAAGAATCGCCGACGTAGCCGTTCTCTCGACAGAAATCTAACTTCCAAGATACCCTTCTTGCTATGCTTATTCTGTCCATCGCGGTCTTGGATGTCGGCGAGCTCAGTCTTAACTTTGACGTGGACATCAACTAGCTGGGCGACAGCCCCTTTCCAATTAAAGGATCAAACACTCCAGATCCATGCCCTCAAAACATTTCCAGGAGTTGTCATCAAAAGAAGCGTTTCTCTTCTCAGACTTAATTGTATGATTTTTCATTCGAATATACTTATTAAGTGAGAGGATCCAAACCAGAGATCCGCTTTCTCACTTTTATTTGCTATCAAACGTTTGCTGGCTACCATGAGGTCAATTGGGCTAGGACCGGAAGTCGTGTGCTTGGGAAACCATTCTTAGGTGACTGACAGCCAAATATCTTCTAGACTTTTGTACTTGGCCGCATCCTCGGTCATCTATTAAACAAGGTAAACCGAAAGTCTACAGGAGGAAATTGAACTCCCTGACATGAACAATTTATTTCCCAGCAGGGAAAAAATGGGTAGGAACGAATTGGAAGGCTGCCATGGTGAACAATAAGCCACAAAGAAGAAAGAAAGTTGAAAATTTCTGCAATTAAATAGATTTACTGACCCTATAATCCAAGTCTGGCTCTCGCTATACTTTGATCTATACCTTTCCAACTTTTTAGAAAACTTAAGCAGAGTGAATTGTTCTGAGTTGTCACCGATCTCTACAGGAGATGGCCCCAAACAACAGATTGTCTCTTACTTGTGGTTAATGTTACAGGTTCACATAGATGAAAACCATGGCAAACCATATAGCTAGGCAAGGCATCAACAGGCAGACTTTCCTAGTTAAATCACACGTTGTTATGTCTACTTAAAGCCCCCTGCGGGTAAGGGGTTTAAGAATTTACCCGCGGTAAGGCATGCCTGTCGTAAGAGGCGACTAAAATCCAATAGTTCCCGTGACAGTCGGGTCTTTATAACGGAACGACCCGGATTTTTATCCGGCCAAGGACTGTAATCACCCAACATTCCCCAAAAAGAACTTTGCGGAATATTTTTGCGGTTACAACAACAACATGTCTACTTAAAGAACATATTAATGAGCAGCTGCACATCGATCAGCAGGTTGAAATGGGATCGGATATGGTTACAGACATTATACTCTCTTAGAGGGGAGAACATCCCAAAACGAGTAGGAGTTGTGACAGGTCACCGTAACACTGGGAGTTCTCTTTAGGAGATTCTACAGAAGTTGTAAGAAGGGTGAAGGGGGAAAAACCGATCGTTCATCCCTAAGGCAATTGTACTACCTCCAGCAAGTTGGGCTGCCAGATCTAGGAACTAACTCCCTCAACTCATGAGGTAGATGAGAGCATAATAGTAAGTAAAGAAATAAAAATTATTACTGGAAGCGGATGGAGACAGTCTAAGTCTATTGATGTTCCCACATTTATCTAGCGAAGCAAATTTTACCTCGAACGATCGGTATGAGCTCATTCAGGGAGAGAGAGAGAAAATAATTTTTCGAAATCAATTAATTCAAGCAACAAGTGCTTTCCGGTTAAGGAATATTTTATGAAAAGTGGAAGAAATATGAGTAATTTAAAGAAATTTCTACATATACAATTTTGAAAAATTCCCATTACATTTCTTCGAACAACCCCTGCACTATGATTGTCATGGGAATCTTAGTAGCAAAATGCATGATGTAATTTGAAGTAAATTTTCATAAGACGTCAACTCTTTGTCGCTTCTTGAGAAAAAAGAAGGAAATAGATTAAAATGCTGTATATACAAACAAACATTAATATGTATGTACATATGTGTATATGTATGTATGTGAGCTTGTATGTATTATATATATATATATATGTGAGTATGCATTGATTTAACAATGAATTTGTTTGATTTACGAGGAAATTAATATTCGAGCATTCAACTGGAAAACAACAAGATTGTGTGTATGAAAAATCTATATATGTATATATACGCATTTACATGTGTTTGTATGTGTTGGTGTTTGCATACATTTGCGAAAAGAAGTTCCTATTTGGCGTAATCACTGCAGCTTAACGATAAATACGTTTCTGTGTGCATTCATATGTATGCATGTATTTGAAAATATGCTCCAGCAAACTATTTGGTGGAGTCTCTAGAAGTTTTGAACTCACGTTTCATGAAATTTCCAATCTTAAGCGAAAATTTATTTTTTTTCCGAAAATATTATGAAAAGTTTAATAAATACGGATTTTACAAAAAATGATACGGTTTTTCGATTCGTTCGGTTTCTGTCCCAATCTCCGGGGAGAAGAGTAGTGTTACTGTTATTTGAGCCATATTCAGTAAATCTAACCATTAAAACATTTTTCGGGAGAGGTCAATCTTTATGTTTGGGGGATATTTTGGTCCCTGGGTCACTTTCCGTAGAGGAGAGTAATCTTCCAGCCAATCTAAGCAAAAAGCCAATTAAGTTTTTTTCGAATAGGTCTATCCCTGGTCCACTTCCCAATTTCCACTTAAACCTACCCAGCAACCTTAGAAATATTGAAACGATTGTGATTGTGGTAGCCCTGCGATCTTGAAATTCCCTTTGCCTTCTTTCGACTTTTTTCTCCTCTCCATAGATATATTTGCCATCGCTCTAGCTTGTTTAGTTCGCCTGCTGTGTCGTGTTGAGTAAACGTGTGTTCGTGGTGCTCGTACCGAAAATGAAAACACGAAATAAGAGCAATGCGTCGCGATGACTGTTTGGAACAAGTGGAAAATGATCCCACGCTGCTTGATCAAGTTATTACAGGCGATGAGAGCTGGTCTTTTCAATACGGAATACCCCCGCCGGTGAAAATTATGTTTATCGCCTTCGTCCATAACGGATTTATTTCACTGGAACAAACCGTGAATCAAATCTACTATCGCCAAGTACTCGTAAGATTGCGAAAATGAGTCAACGGGGTGTGCCCAGTCATCGCTCGTAACTGGATTCTTCATCACGACAACGCGTCGTGCCACACCGCCGAGTGCCCCAGTATTTGGCCCCTGAAGGGATCGCCGTGTTGCAAAAACCGCCTTATTCGCCCGATATGTCACCCTGTGACTTTTTTTTGCTCCATAGAACGAAATCGGTGATCAAAGAAACCCATTTTGAGTCGATTGAGGCGGCCGCGACGAGGGTACTCGCGGACATCCCAGTCATGGAAACATGGAAAATGCGCTAGAATCGCTGTATAGCTGCCCAAGGGGACTACTTTGAAGGGGATGGCAGAGTTGTAGAATAATTTTTAAAATAAACGGTTTTTATGTAATCAGTCTTATAAATTAACTGTCACACCTCACATGTATATAATATACATATATAATATACATATATAGAAAATATAGAGAAAAACTAATTTTCAAATTCATGAATTTAGGCTCAGTAAAAGTAAATTATATCAAGTTAGTACTGTACAATAAACATAATAACACAAACCATCGTCTAAGTAGCTTTGTTTGTATATTTGTAAGCGATTAAAACCCGGTTGCAACGTGCACATCAATTAGCGGCTGAAAATTGCGCTTCCTATTATATGCAACACATACACACTCACAAATGCACATAAACGCATTTATTATTGCTTTTTCTTTTTTTTTTTAATAATGAACACTAATACATATTTATTTTTATTATTATTTTTATTTTTACTTTGTTTACATGCGTTTAATCTATAGGTCAAGAACGTTGCCGATGCAAGGCATTTGAAAGTATATTGAATTCAATCACTTTTTGTTTACAAATAAACAATTTTTTTTTTGGTAAATATGTATTTATATATATAGATAAAATTATACTCACATATACAACACACCGCTAACATGCGCGCCGAATCATCTGGTGGCTGACATTCGGGAAAGAATGGCTTCAAAACGTAGACACTAAAGGTGAGCGCCACAATCGCCTGCGAACACGGACGTACAATCATACACTCGATCCACAAACGTATGAAGGCCATAAATGGACCGAACGTCTCCATGATGTAGGCATAATCAGCGCCAGATTTTGTGATCATTGTGCCCAATTCGGCATAGCAGTAGGCGCCGACCTGGCGTGAATGGAGAACATTTGCGATAGTGAAAAATACTGGACTAAAATATTTATTTATTTTCTTTCTTTTAAATTTTAAAGCTCCTGAAAAATTCCACAAAAACAAATTAGAAAGCCCAAAATTTTTATAATATTTAATGGATATATGGTCATATTTTTTTATATCCTGATTTTCAGTTGTATAATTCCCTGCCTTTGTACTTCAAATTAATTGCCATTAAAAGTCATACATATGTGGATATGTATGTATGTAAATATGCAAATCAAAAGCTTTCGATTTTATCTTGGAATTTCCTGAGACACTCTCATTAAATGGAATGTCAAATACAGTTATTATTCGTGACATTAAAGCGGTCGTGTGTAAAACTATAAACGTACATATGTATGTCCCTTTTATCCACACATATATATGTATAATATACATATGCACGATTGGTTTTTCACTAACATAAGTATTTTTATATTTGCTCCAATTTGAGTGGTCGTGCGAAAATGCCATTCGCATTAGTATGAGTTATACACTTAGAACGGATGTACATGTGTACAAATATGCATTTATATTGTCACGAGCTGTCTGTGACATGCGTATCCCTGCGAAGAATTTTAATAACTTCATTACGGCGCTATGAGAACGTATTTCCGTATTTTTAAGAAAATTTGCCTTTTCCTCATTTTCTCGTACTTTAATGTCTGCTAGTTTTATTTCTAGTTGTGAATAAGTACTCTTTTAATTAAAAAGGTTGAGTTATATTGACCGACTCGATTAGTTGCCCATACCAGATTACAAATAAAATAAAAGAATAAATTAAAAAAAAATAATAATAAATAAAGTAAATAAAATTAAAAAAGTAATAAAAAATTAAATAGAATAATAACTTAATAAAATAAAATAAAACTAAATGAAATAACATAAAATAGAATAAGATAATATGAAGTAAAATAAAATAAAATAGATTAAAATAAAGACAAGTTATATTAAAAAAAATTATCTAAACCAAGACAATTTATTTAAAATGAAAAAAAGTTAAAATAAAATAAAATAAAATAAAATAAGATAAAATACAATGAAATAAAATAAAAGAAAATGCAATAATATAAAATAAACAAAATAAAATAAAGTAAATTAAATAAAAAAAAATACAATAACATGAAATAAAGAAAATAAAATAAAATAAGTTAAACAAAATAAAATCAAATAAATTCAAATAAAATAAAACAAAATAAAATAAAATAAAAAATCTCAAACAAAAAAGAAGAAAGAAGGGCTATCTTCGGCCATATGGAAGTCTTTATGCCCTTTATAACCGAATCAAATTTTTATTTTTTTATTTAAATGTACGTGTACCCGATTTCACGCTCTTTCATGCTATTTTGACTGATTTTTTACCTAAAACCTCATATCTGAGCAAATCGGTTGTATGTAGGCTATATGATATAGTCCTCCGATATTGATGATATTCGGTTACGATATTTATTTGCAGATACGAGTGTAAAACGCTGAATTCTATGCTCTTAGAAGGTGTTTTAGCGATTTTTTACCATTTGCAAAAAAATTAAATCAAATAAAAAATAAAATCAAATAAAACATAAAAAATTTAAAATTTAATATATTTAATATATAATATGCATCTTGAAGTCAACCCTCATACTCACCATCGAAAAGAGACCGGAAACAATCCATACGATCAGCGACAAATTCACACTGCCTGTGTACATCAGCACACCAGTGGGCGAGACGAAAATACCAGAACCGATGATAGAACCCACGATCACTGTGCAACCATTGACCAAACTCATTTTCGCCTTCAAAGTCACCTCACCACCACCGCCGCCACCGCCGTCACCACCTTCAGTATCCGCTGTAACCTTAGCCGGCGCATCGCCATTACCATTGACTACCGAACTTTTCCGTGAGGAATTTTTCCGGTTAAGTGATTCAGTCTCCATATTTGTGTGTGTGCTATGCACGAGTATTGGATAATTTCGACAATCAAGTCGTTAATTAGTTTATGTTAAGCAATTGCTGGCGAACGCGGGGGAGGCTGCTTATTTCGAATTTGATTTATTGCGGCGGTGAGCTTGTGTTGCCAAAGAGGGAGAATGTGTAGAAAGGTGCGTGAGTGTGGTACTGTAAATAAAAGTAAAATATTTGAATAAATATTTGCATTTGAGTATAAACTGAGTAAATAAATTTTTGGCTATTTTATGATTTTTTTTTTTTAATATTCTTATATTTAGACATTGGCAAGTTGCAAGTTTTCGTATTATTTGTAGCTTTAAATTAGTGAAAAGGTGAGATATTTTCAGATATATATGTATCTAAATATGTGCAGCAAATGGCATTGAAATTTTAAAGATCTTAATTTTCTCACTTCACAGTTTGGTTAACTGAATTTTATTCACACTTGAATAAAAAAATGTATGTGCGTACTTATATGCATACTCTTATGTACATACATAAACTATTATATTAAAATTTCTGACTTCGCTGGAATCGTAATTGAGATGTGAGGAAATAAAAATCAAACATATATGAAATGACATATTCACATGTAATAATATATATGTATATTGGTGTGGTAAAATTTTTTCAAATTTAAATGAAAAGAAAAATACCAAAAAATACAAGCGCTATTATTATATATATATGTATGTTTATTTTCTTTCAATAAATTTTAAATATAAATTAAAAAAAAAATAATCTCTATTACACATTTTATAAATTTTATTGCCAAATTTTGCGCAAAAAACAGCCTGAATAAGCGAAAGAAGTTTTGTTAAAAGTGTTGAATAGTTTTGCTGCTATTTTTTATAACAGAAACAAGCTGAAGAAAGGATATTATATATGTATATAGTTTCTAGCCAATTTTTGTGTAAAAAAAATTCTATTTAAAAATACTACTAGAGGCCAATTGTTTGTGGAAAGCAACGAAAGGAATTGCATTAACATTTCAAAAATTTTTCCTTTTTAATTTTTGTGGAGAATTTTTTTTTTATGGTCAACATTGTTTAATGTTTTTTGACAAAAGCCGAACAAAGAAATGAAATTTTTCAAATTAGCCCGCCACCTAAAGACGTCTTAAATAATTTTATTGTGATTTAGAGAAATCCTGCAGGGGAAAGCCAACTAGTATGCAAAAATTCTAGTTAAATACTAGTATGTTGAAGATGAAATCATACCAGTTCGTTATTTGTAAAGAAGTCCTCCAGTAACGGGAGAAATAAAAATTTCCACCACTGTTTTTTGTTGTTATATTGCCCTGTCCTATTGAAGTGTGCAAAATGACATTGATCGTGGCATCGTCTTGATAGCCGAGTGGCAAATTAATTTTTTAAGCTTTATTGGTTTTAATTTTTGGCGAAACAGAATTTTTTGTATTTAATTCATATGTTGTTTGTGCTGAGTTTCATTTCCTAAAAAGCTCGGTTAAAGCGCGCATATTTCCTTCTCCTATGTATCATACCGATAGTCTGGTAGTTAGAGGTCTTCACTGTGATGCGTGAGGATCTCGGTTCGATTCTATCAGCCGGCAAACTGAATATTATTTGATTTAGTTTGTCAGCTCGTAGGACATCGCCGTGTTAAAAATACCAGTTGCTTACATGGAAAATGGATAAAGATGAACTGGTTGGTGTAAAAATGTAAGCTATTTGAATTCTAGTTAACAACTAGTATTTTTTACTCCAGAGAATGTTTAATTAACTTCTACATGAAAATATATAATATATTCGAAAATCGCTCAAATGAGAGTCTTTGCAATTTTTATTAACCACTATTTTTCGGCAGACCTTAATGTACGTAAGTACATTACAGTATCAGTATCTCGCGCGAAAATTCTACCCTACGCAAATGGTCAGTCTACTGACTGATTGTATGTTGTTGGCTTTGTTCAAACATGCGCGAGTACATATACATATACATACATACATAGCTTAGCAGGCGAGATTATCAGTTTGACCATTTTGCGTAATTGAGTTTTCACAGATACTCATACATATACATATATAAGCTCGTATACAATACACCCGCATAACCGCAAGCACATATTCCATGGCACGTATGCCACTACGTATAAGTGACATTGACATTGACAAATTATGCTATCAAAGCGTGTATGGACATATGCGCTTATGTATGTAGGCATATATGTTTATGTATGCATTTGCTGCTTTACAATTTATGTATTTTCCATTTTAATTTAATTATATTTATTGTTTTACACATTGTTTTTGTAAATATTTACAAGCAACTTCGCGATGGTCTGATGCTACACGTTTGGTGATAAGAAGTGATTTATATATATTTTTTTCTTTGACTGAAAATATTTATAATTTTCTTCTTTTTTTTGTGAATATTTGGAGCATGCTTACAACGATATTGGTATTTTAATACAAAAATATACTTTATATATGCACAAACAAGTCTACCTCTCTCTGTGCACCCATTTCACTATTTTTTGGCAGGTGAGTGGAACTCTTTGCATCTTAATAACCATGACTTAAATCAGCTTTTCTTGACAACTTCCTTTGATATTTCATCCAAGGTCCACAGATCGGTTCAGAATATGGATAATTAAAAAAATATCCGCGCTTTTTGTCAGTAGATGGTGTTGATACTCTTATTTCGGGTAGCAGCAATCCGATTGTGACAAACTCACATGTGATTGAAAGATAAAATTACAAGCAATATTTTTTTTCAGGGAGCGAAATACTATTCTGATTTCAAAATGAAGGAAAATTCGGAAGAAACATATTTAATTAAGTTAATTTGCTATGAAAAAAAGAAAAATCGGCGCAAAAACGTGTTGAAACACTTGTGTGGTTTCCGGTGCGACTGCTGTAAGCGAATGCCTGACCCGACAGCGGTTGGCCCGATTCCATTCCGTTTCAGTAGTTCTGACAATGAAAATGCAGCTCGTGCTGGTCGGCCAGTAACTTGAAAATTGATGAAATTCTGCAACTGGTGGATCAAGAATGACACGCAAGCTGTCAAGAGATAGCGAAGGCACAAGAAGTCATTCACGTGACATTATGAAATCATAAAAAAATGCTGAAAATTCAAAGAAGCTCGATGTTTGGGTACCATAAAGAACGCGTCCTAAATACGGCGGTGTAAAATAAGTTGATTAGGAGAATATGAAATAAATGTTGACCCGCCACATGCGACTGCAAAGCCTGAAAGTCTGAATCGGTTCGGTTACCCCTGTATGGTGGGATTGGAAGGGAATTATTCATTAAGAGCTGCTAAAACTAGCTTAAAAGCAGCTCTTAAAAACAGCTGCTAGAATTTTTCAATAGAAAACGTGTTGTGTTTCATCATGACAACGCCAGACCATATACATTTTTGATGATGAGGTGCAAAAATTGACGGAGCCTGGTTGGGAAGTGCTGATGTACCCACCGACCGTATAGTCGCTGAAAACAATTTGGCCGAGTTCTTCGTCACAGAAGAAGCTTTATACCAACGAATTACACTCTAAATAAGCTCATAGAAAATAAATAATGATAAGTACAATATCTACTTGATCAAAATTAAATTTCAATAAAAAAACTTTTTTCAAATATATGCAAAACAAGCGCAGACTTTTTAATTACATGGTTAGTAGGGCTATTTATGGACCGCCATTTTTGGTTGAACTTCAGAAAAGGTCCCTGGTTAAGTTCTGTTGATTAATACCTTAAATATTTCTGTTGAGTTTAGGTGGGTGTGAAGTTGGTCCGATTTCACACATAAGCAACAGCATCCACACTTGTGATCTGAGGAATCTGTGAGCAAAGTTTTATCTAAATACTTACTGCAAATATAATGTATACGGACGGATGGACGGTTATATAGACATAACTAAAGCGATACGTACACTGATTTCTTAAAATTTGATAAACTCGTATATAAAGGAATACTTTTGCCCCTATCTCGGTTATAAATACAATATTATCGATGAAAAGCTGAGTTAGGTTTGATTAGGTTGAACTGGCTGACTCATCGGGTCTGATATACACCATCCCAATGCGACCAACATCTAAAAGTTATGGAAAATTACTTTAAATAAAAAATTAAGTTACATTTTCTAATTGCGGTCGCGCCTCGGCAGGGAATGTCAACCCCTCCGAGTGTATTTCTGATATGAAATAAAGCTACTCATAAAAAAACCATCAGCTCCTTCGAAGGTGGCTTAGCATAAACTGCAGGTCCCTCCATTTCTTGGAAAAACATTAAGGGACAAAATTACAAATTGAAGGAGAAGTTTGTCCGAAAATCGCTTAAGCGGTTACAAAGCGTCAATTATATTCTACACCAAGTAAGCACAGCTTTTGACGGTCGAATACTGCACACTCACTCCACACATTCCCACTTATTTTTCTCAATCAGATCTAAATTCAACGCATGCGACGCCGAAAGGCAAAGGCCCAGTAACAGACCAACGAGCAGCCAGAAACTCAGTCTCCTCACCAATAATGAAAACTTTATTAGTTTTTAGCCTCTCAAGTTTTGCACATAGTTCTCGCGCATCTGTAGCCGTTTTCTCGTGCCCGGAGTCTGTTGGCCTGACGAAGTAAGATTACCCATTGCATTTGCTTTACTTATTTAAGTGGAACTGGTAGGTTCGTTATTAAGTGCTGTTATAAAATGACAACCTACTCGACTAGTTCCTCACCACTGGCATTGCACAATGTGTTCTGGTACCCCTCATTTTCAGATAGCTGACTTCGTGCTGTATGAATTTAACGCCTCTAACTACTCTTATAAATAGCCAAGAATCTAAAGTAACACTGCCGACATTTTTAGAGCAAATATTTCAGCTTGGAAGCTAAGGGTTGACAGCATAGTAAACTGAAGCCTCCTCCATTACTTCGTTCATTTTAGGACCGTTAGTCTACATATTTTAGTATTTCACTAGAGCCATTCGTCTCTATTGTAGCTTGCAGCAACTTTGTAAATTTAGAGGTAGCACCGGGAATAAAAATAGCAAAAAATGTGTATTTTTTCTCAACCTTTCTTTAGAAGCATCAAATGAGAAGGAGCAATGTGTTGCTCACAAATTTTTTAGCACTTTTGCAATTTTATAAATTCCTTTGATGTTTCTAGTATACCAGTAAAAAAAATGTATAGCAAAGTTAAAAACAAAAATGTAATTACCTTTTGTTTTTTGGTTTGGCTTTTGGCCTTTTGTTTTTTATTGAATTGAAGCATTTTATTGGAAAAAATAAACGTAAATAGTATCTTATACAAACGAAATGCTTACCAATGCCGAGGCACGTATTGAAAATTGAAGTTGCTTTCCTCCTTGAATTGAGGTTTATAATGGTGAAATATCGAATTTTTCTGCTTAATCACCCATAACCACGATTTTTTGTGTTCTATTTTGAAGCTATTGTGTAGTATGTACTTGTACACATACAAAAAAGAAAAAAAGAAGAAAAAAATTAATTACCTTTCACTTTGCTTTTCGTATTTGTAAATTTTTTTTTTCTCTTTGGTACTTTTATACATTTTTATAAAGCTTTACTTTTTGTTAGAAAAAAAAATTAAGAAAAAAATTCAAAATCTGCAAAAAAAGGTCATTGAGACCAAAATGAGCTACTATAAACATAATAACTCATTTATAAGAAAAAAAGTTTCAAAATCGCTTTCTAATGTCCGAGTCAATGAGCCAGTGCATGATTTTGGTGATTTACCGTAAAATTAACTAGACAAGTAAACAAAAAAGTGAAGAGAAAAAAGAGACAGTTATTAACTAATCAATAGCTAATGTTTCTTATACATATATGTACATATATTGTATGTATGTATGAAAGTGTAGGAGAATAAAACCATTTTTAACTGCAAGTCATGGGACAAGAACAACAGATGCGCTTTTATTTATGCATATATTTACTCAAAACATTTTATAAGTTCCATGCGTGCCTATATATAGTATATTTATGTATTAGGTCAAGTAAAAAGTTCGTTCGGTTTTCATCTTAAGTGATGGCGTTATTGTCCATAGTACTAGTGTTACGTTTCATATCATGTCATACTATATCGCGCTAAAAGTTTGTCTTTGACAGTTTTTCGATTGATTGACTCAGTACGTTGTGAGCGCTCGTTAAAGATGGACACCAGCCTAGAGAAAATTCGCTATATTTTAGAAATTTTTCTTAGATCAAGGCGAACAATCAGCCAAAGCGGCTGAAAAAATTAATTTAGTTTATGAACCCGTTACTCTAAGCGAATGTGTAGCACAAAAGTGGTTTGCTATGTTCCGTTGCGGTAATTTCGATGTCAAAGATGCACCAGATTTTGCTGTGTGTTTGGTGGGATTGGCAAGGAATCATCTACTACGAGCTGCTACCCTATGACAAAATGCTCAATTCGGCCCTCTACTGCCAACAACTGGACCGCTTTAAGGCAGCACTTATCCAGAAGAGGCCCTTTTTGGTGACGCGTCAGAAGCTCCAGAAGCTCGGGTGGGAGGTCCTAAAGCACCGATCTCATAGTTCCAACCTGACACCAAGTGATTACCAAATTTTCCTATCCATGGCGAACGCTTTTAATGGTGAGAAGTTGGCCTCAAGAGAGGCCTGTGAAAATTGGGTCTTCGAGTTTTTTGCCAATAGGGACGCAGCCTTGTACGAAAGGGGAATAATGAAGTTGGCATCTTGTTGGCAACAAGTTTAAGAACAAAACGGCGTATATCTGACATAAATCGTACAAATATACACAAAGTTATCACATTTTGAAAAATCAATAAAAAAAACCGAACAAACTTTTTACTTGACCTAATTATGCCTATATTGAGAGAAATATCAAGTTTAGCCACTTTTCCTCTACAATACATAAATTTGCATATCCGATATACATATATGTATGCACATAAGTATGGCATGTGCTTTGTGCAAATCACGCCCACTTAGATATTTTTGTTTTTTTTGGATTTTCATATATATATATTTTCCTTTTGCTGGGCATGTGCTATGCATAATAACTCAATAAACAATCTATTAACAAGTAATTAATTAATTCATAATAAATAAATAATTGATGTGAGACTTGAATGTTTACATACACATGCACACATACTTTATCATATATATGTTTGTGTGTCTATATATACATACCCTGCAAAGAAAATGTAGACTAGTATGCAAAATTCTAGTAAAATACAAGTATTTTGAAGACGAAATCATGTTAGTTTGTTGTAAGCCAGAATTACACTGGTATTTGAAGGACAAAAATATACTAGTTTGCTATAGGCTAGAATTTTATTAGTATTTTTCGATAATATCAGAACTAGTTTCCAATATTTCTGTATATACCCAGTATTTTGCCAGCAAATTCATACCAGTTTATCGTTTTGCAGTAAGAAAAGCAGAACTCATAAGTAGTCAGAATTGGAATGATGTTTTTGTTTGTTTTTTTCAAATGAAAATGTAAAACAAAAATAAATTTGTTTCTAAATATATGCATACATATACAATACAAGTACAAGATTTCTTAGTGATTTTTGGCTAAAGATAGGGTTAGTAGTAGTATTTTGTAGGTAAACTGTTGTCTAAGCCGGTGGAATGAGTCGATCCACCTCTCACAAATACGATGCAGACTGGTGTGAAGTGAACTAGTTTTCAACTGGTATGAACGAATCAGTATTTTAACTGGTATAGATGAACTGGTATTTAACTAGTATAAAGCTGATGCATACTGACAATTGACAGTTGGAGAACATCGGCGTGCTAAGAATACCAGTTGTTTACATGGAAAATAGATGTAAGATAAAGTAAATAAAGTAAAGTATGTAAGCTATTCGAATTCTAGTTAACAAATAGTATTTTTCCCTGCAGGTATACATTCGTGTGCATGCTCCGCTGTCACATGTATTGTGTACAGCATACGCATGTCGCTCAGCTGTGCTTATTGTTATTGTTTTCGAAATTGATAAGCACTTTTTTGGGCTTAACGGTTGCCGTTTTTTTTTCAATTTCATATATTTATATATATTGAATTATTGAATTTTTGTTTTTTTAATGACGTTAATCTGTTTTTGGTCTGTTGCGCTATATTTTCGCGTGTTATCAAGAAAATCTTCAACTCGTTGAAAAAATTGTTTATTAACTTTTTTATGTTTTTTTGCATTAATATAAAAATTTTTTTATTTATTCATAATATGTATTGATATTGAATGAGGAAGTGCTGTTTTACAGATTTTTTTTTTAATAAATCGACTTATGTAAATTAGGCTGGTTCAAAGAAATAAAAAAGAGTTCATCAAACGTATGTAAGGCGCTTTGTATGATTTGAAATGGTTTATTCCATTTCAAATATGTATATAAAAGGCTTTACACTTGAATGACTGACGGATCAAGCCACAGCCTAAAGTAAACAGATCGTAGAGAAATGAAATTTGGAGACTATATTCTTTGTATGTCATTGGGAACATCTTTTTTTCGAGAAGTGGCCCTGGGCCATTTCGATGGTTAGGTTTTAGTTAATATGTGGAACTTATATATGTGGCTCTTTTCCAAGGTTAATATGAGGAGTAGATTAATATAAAGAAATTTTTTCTTCTTTTTCATAAATAATAACATAAATATGTTATAATAAAAGAAACAACTTAGAAACCTGATAAAAACCCTTTAGAACCATCTTAAATTCCAAAGAGTCGCAGGCAATTTAATTATATACTAAGTCTCGTACATTGGATCCGTTGTTTTTCAAGAATGCATAAAACTCGTCTCATTCAATGTTATGGCCAAGAATTGAGCTTCACTATAAAGATAAGGATTTGCCATTATGTTTTAGAAATGTCGCAATTGGTATCGTTGGTCAACAATAATGCGCCCAAAATTCTCTTTCAAGCCGCCAGTCAACTCGGACTTTACTGGCCTAGATAAGCGACTTCAATAATTTGATTATTTCGTTTGCTGTATGGCATGGAGCATCGTCTTGTTGGAGCCAATAGTGTTTAGTTTGGGAACATTCACCAAAGGTTCGACGCGTTTAATGGTCGTTAGGCTTACATTTTTGCATTATCTTCCATAAAGCCCCAATTGTAGCGTAGGATGACGGATAGACTCAATCGGGTATTTTTCAATATTGTGCTCCACACTGTATGACATCCCCGAGGATCCGCATTATCCACTAGAGTAAACGCGGTGCGCAACCGATGTTTATTCGAATTTTTGCAAATGTTGCTCCATCTGAAAAACACCTTAACCTTCAATCAACAGAAATATGTTAAAATGTCATGATATTCAGTGAACGCCCAAATGAAGTGGTAACACCAGAAAATATTAAAATTCCCTAAACTGCTTCGAGTGGTGCAAAAGTGAAGTTGCATAAGTTGGGTGTCATTTGAAAGAACTCTTCGAAATGGGGCCGAATTTACGCACGGTGCTCCGAAAAACAAGAATGTGTTGACTCTGAGCAGTGTTTGGCCTTGTTTAAGGGTAAAATACGAGAATTTTTGTTTTAATATATGGCAACGGATGAAATATGGATCCATCAATTTTCTCCCTAATCATCTGGATGGACAACAAATGGTGAACCTTGTCCAAAGCGCTCGAAACCACTACCATCACTTGGGAAAGGTATGGCTACAGTATTTTGATATGTGCGTATTGTAATATTCATCGACCATCTTGAAGCGGGAAATACCATCAGCAGTGATGGTACTAAAGAGATATTGAAATATCATAGCAGCGCTGTAATGATTATCTTTCTCTTTATGATAATTTTGTTGACGAATAAAATCAATTTCTAACAAAAAAAAACACCGTTCTTTGTAAGCCCGGGGCTTTTCAATCCATGGATTGGTGAATTTGAAATTTGAATGATGCGACATTTGTTGAAAACAAATTTCGATTTGACAAAAAAAAAAAAAAAATCAAAACACCATATTAATGATTACATATACACTACAGTATAAATCTCTGTAGGTGTTATTAAACTTTAATAAAATTTTAAAGATAACTTAACTGAAAAAAAAAAATTAGAATAAACTCAAGAACCAGAAAACTAATACAAAATTATTTTAACTAATTTCTAAAAGTAAGATATAAGAACTTTGCAAACAAATATATATATGGTATGAAATTAAATTGGTATGAAAATTTTAACTGTTTCTATTTTATTACTCTTCCATATTAGCCAATACACAGTTTATGAAAGCTCCAGTCAAAGCACAATTTACGAATTTATTTGAACCTTAATAATTATCATATATTTATGTAAGTAAATGTCATTAGAAATATTATATTTACATATATATATACAAAATATAAATAAAAGTGTAGAAATACAGGTGTTTCTACTCTACAACAGAATCAATGGCTAACAGGTGGTTGAATTGTATGCCGAGAAAAAGGTGAACAAACTAACCGACACGTCGCTAAGTTAGAATATCACCAATA